CTTGATACAATTGAATTGCATCAACAAAGTTTGATGCCTAAATTATTGAAAGTTTGAGTTTCATACGTAAATTATTACTTTTTAGTTTGAGAAACATATCTCCATCTTTTATACCACTCTCATCAGTCATCATCATATACACTCTCTCTTTTATTTTAAAGAATTTTCACATCACACTTCTAATCGACAAATCATTTAATCTTGACAATAAATAAATAAATTATTAATATTAGTTAAAATTAAACATTAAAAACCTATTATAAAAAAATAATATTTTCTTTATAAAATAAAATGTAAAATATTTTTCTTACCCCACGCCATCACTTTCTCAACCCGCCCCCCGCCCCCTCCCTCCCTACCATTTTTAAAGTTTTTTTATTTTGTTTAAATTTCATTTATAAAAGTATTTCATTTTTTTTACTTCATCTCCTCCCCCTCCTCAAATACTAATTTATATATTATTTTATTTTCTTTAAAAAATAATTTTACACATCCCACTTAATTCTCCGCTTCTAATTTTCTTTTTCAGTGTTTAGATATACATATTGAAAATATTTTTTACTTGCTGCCACAAGACTTTTTTTAATTTTTTTTGTTATTTATGTTATCTTCGGTACGCTAGTAGAATTTTTTTCTAAAAATATATGTACGTGCATGCATATCTAACACAAAATGAGAAAAACCTAAAAAGATAAAAAAATTGGGAGAGAAGGATTCAATGGGATGGGGTAGATTTTTTATTTTTTAAAAATAAAATAATATTAATTTCTATTGGGGGGGAGGGGAGGATGAAGTATGAAATTTCTAAAAATATTTTATAAATTATTTTTTTTAAAAAAAGGATGGGGGTTGTCGGGGAAGGGGGGGGGTGCATGTGCGCGCGCGGGTGGAGGAGGTGGCGGAATGTGGTAAGAAAAATAATTTACTTTTTTATATGGATAGTAATACTTTAATCTTTAATTTTTAATTAATATTATTATTTTATTATTTAATTTTTATCTAGATAAAATATTTTATCTATAAGGAATGTCATGTGTCAAGGTTTTTTCAAATAAAAAGAGAGTGCATTTTTCAAACTAAAAAGTTATAGTTTGAGTATGAAACTCACACTTTATAATAGTTCAGATATGAAACTAAAAAAGAATGAATAATTTAGGTATGTTTTTGACACTTATATCTTTTTATGCAATTGTATTCATTGATACAAAAATGAATATGCAACCTCTCTTTTAACTCTTAATCTCGTTCGTCTCTTTCTTCCTTCTAACATATAGCTATGAATAATGATCAAGTAAACTATACTTATAAATCTCTGAGTAAGCCCAAACTATAATCATTTTCGAAATTTCCTCTCTATATCTATTGGAATCACGTCCACTTAGCTATATTATTTCCAACACAGTAATTTAATATATACTTTTTGTGCTCAAATAATTAGCATGTCTTCCCTAGAGAAATTAGTTTGAGTAATCAAGCTCCCTAGTGAAGCCCAAAATTCTACATGAGGCTGGCCGCATACAAGGTTTGACATGAGGGCCTCTGAAATTATTAAAAAATAAACTTAATTCATACACAATGATTTAATTCAATTGTATAAATAGGTGAACAATTTATTTATTTTATATAACACTAAACATAACCAATTTCAGCTAAGATTAATTTTTTTTCACTACACAATACAAATGGAGCTAACTATTCTTCTTTGCGCTCTATTTCTAGTTTTGCCTTTACTTGTTACTAAATGGTATAAAGAGTGTAATAGTAAGAAAAAATTACCTCCAGGCCCTTGGAAACTACCATTCATTGGAAACTTGCATCATTTTATTGATTGGCAATCATCTGAGTTACTACCTCATCGCACTCTTGCTAAATTAGCATCAAAACATGGAGGTTTAATGCACATGAAACTCGGTGAACGCGAAGCCATTGTTGTATCATCACCTCAAATGGTTAGAGAAGTGATGAGAAAACATGATCTCATCTTCTCTAATCGGCCAACGCTTTTGGTTGGAACAGAAATGTTTTATGACCATGCTGATATGGGATTTTGTGACTACAATGATTTCTGGAGACAAATGCGTAAAATTTGTAATCAGGAATTACTTGGCCATACATATATTCAGTCATTTTATCCCAATATGATGAATGAGATAACTAATCTTGTTAGTTGTATCAAAAGTTGTGCTTCTGAGGGTGGAGGTTCAATCAACATGACGGAAACGTTGTCTTTGTACACAAATTCGATTATTTGCAAAGCAAGTGTAGGCAGGGCTTGTAAGAATCAGGGGTCTTTGATTGAGATTATGAGGATAGTGTCTGCTTCAGCTGGAGTGTTTGATCTCGCGGATCTTTTTCCATCGATGAAGATGATTCATTTCATCAGTGGATTAAAATACAAACTGAGGAAAATGCATGATGAGGTTGATGTTGTTTTAGAAGAAATTATCGATGAACATGAATCCCAAAACAGTGAGACCTCAGAAAAAGATATAGTTGATGTTCTCTTAAGGCTTCAAAAGAGCCAAGATTTTTCAATTCCTATCACCAGAGATAATATCAAGGCTGTCATCATGGTAAGTTGAATGACATATTATTTCACTGCATAATTTTGCGCGATACTAATTAGTTTTGTTGGATATGCAGGACTTGTTTTCAGGAGGATCTACAACTTCAGCATCAACAATGGAATGGGCTTTCTCAGAACTAATGAAAAATCCAGAAATGATGAAGAAAGCACAGGATGAAGTAAGAAGGGTATTTAAAGGAAAGGAAACCACAATCGATCTAACCGATATTCAGAAGCTCAAATACATAAAAATGATTGTTAAGGAGACTTTAAGGTTTCACCCTTTAGCTCCATTATTAGCTCCAAGAGAATCCAGAGAAGAGTGTGAGATTAATGGCTATGTTATACCTAAAGGCACAATGGCTCTTGTCAACTTTTGGGCAATTTCAAGGGATCCAAACTATTGGCGAAATCCTGAAATATTTGATCCAGAGAGATTTAATGATAGTCACCTTGATTTTATTGGAGCACATTTCGAGTTTACGCCTTTTGGCACAGGAAGGAGAATGTGTCCAGGGTTATCATTTTCAATGGCAACTGTTGAACTTAGTATGGCACTATTACTATACCATTTTGATTGGAAACTTCCAAATAGAATGAACCCTCATGAACTAGACATGACTGAGAAATTTGGCAGTACTCTTGAAAGGAAAAACAACTTGTTCTTGATTCCTTCGCTCTATGTTCGTGCCTAATGCAAGCCCTATATCTATATATACTTCTACTTATAAGAATAAAGTTGTATCAAGATTCCATTTTGTCTTCCCTATTATAATGTAAAAGATACACATTTCTATCGTCTTAGTATATGCTACAAGAGTCTAATATCTTCTTAATTTTCTTTTATTTCAAAGTTTGATTGATTCACTATTTATTGTCCTTGAGTTTATTTTGTCATGAACTAACTAGAAGATTGATAAAACTCGAACTCTTTAAAAATGCAATACGGTTTCTGTCAAATCCTCCAAAAGTAATACAGACTTCAGGGCCCGAGCAACATAGGATAAAAATGTTAACAAAAAAATGAAAGCAACAACACACACCTAGTCCATAACAAAAAAGGGATTCTATCATAGATTTTTCAAACAAGACATAACCATTTTTGTGCAAAACATCAACTAAAGGCTAAAAACAGAACAAACAATCAACAAGACACAAGAAAGACAACACAAAACATAAGCAAGTCCTTCAGCTGAGCCACTTGATTATACTCAACAATGGTGCTTCCTCCACTGCAAAAGAAGCCGATACGCTGGACCATAACATTGAATTTGAGAATCAAGTATAAGAAATAAGCAGCCATCTTGACTATCAACCAGCCATAACCTGTAAAAGTTATGGGGTATTGCAGATCCTTTTTTGTATGTCTGAGTGAGAATGTAATTCTGTATTGGTGAAAGATGTACAAATTTGTCTTGCTTTGTGAACAGAGCACTCAGCAAGCCGACATATTTGTGCACTCCTTACTCGGAAATCCCTTTATATGTTGGAAAATAGCATATACAACGAAGCAATCCAGAATCATACATCTTGCATGAATATAAATAACAATCACAAATATTTATCACATACAAAGTATGCTGAAAATTAACTCAGGATTACCTCTTGAAGCGTGTGCAGATATCTTGAAGTAAATCCAACTCCAGTTCTATAGTCTTCTACCGTGATCCCAATCAACAACTGAACTCTCTCAATACTTGGGTGGGCAAGTATTGTATAAAATTCTCTTATTAAATCTAGGTTAGAAAAATCCCTATTTATAGAGATGTCTTCCTAGTCCAAAGAGGAGAGGAAAAACCAATTCTTTTTATTTTAGGAGATGTCTTCCTAGTCCAAAGAAGAGAGGAAAAATCAATTCTTTTCCTTTTAGAATGTCTTCCTAGTCCAAAGAGGAGAGGAAAAACCAATTCTTTTTTTTTTAGGAGAACTTGAAAACACACGTTTTCCTCCAAAGAAAAAGAACACTAC